TTTTTAAAATATAATTTTCCTTTCAAACCAACCTTATTTTTTCACTCTCCTCAAACCTTACTTTTATATCTATCAATTGAAATTTAATGCAAAAGAACGAAAAAAATGAAATCCTTCCAAATAAGAATAAATGAACTCTAATTTCACAAAGTAACAAATCAATTTGAATCGAAAAGTAACTAAAACAAGAAAGTATGATAAAACCCAACTTTCTCGGGCTTTGAGTAACCCATGACCCTAATTCTTATTAATAAATAGTAGATATGGTTTTTGGCATGATAAATTAATAAATTTAGATAGTTATACTATATGAAGCTGAATTAAATAGCCTGCACTTTACGACCAAATGCTATAAGTAACAAATACCTCTCTCAAATTGTCTGAAATAAATATAGATTCAAAATTTCTTAACACTTCAGGAAGCAATCTCAAATTTTCATTTTGTTTTATTAAAAAGACACAGATTAAGACTCCCCCGTTTAAATTACTGAATTGAGAAGGTCATATTGTTTTGTGCTACTCTGTGTGGTCACGAATTTTGTAATTAAAAGGATTAGATAATTCATTATTTTGCATGGTATTTGGCAACGAAAGAAAGGTTTGCATTCAAAATATATTTTTTGTAATTGGTTGTTTGTGTGGAAAAAAATTCGTTTGATTATATTTCATTTTATCAAAAGGTAAAAAACTCACACAAATATACAGATGAATATAAGCATCCGTTCAATCAAACACATAACAATAAAGAAAAAATAATATTAAAAATAAAAAGCAAAAAAGGTTATAACGACATTTTGTATCGTTATTGCGATCTTTAGCTCGTAATAGGGCTTTTTAGCTCGTTCCTCCCCCCCCCCCCCCCGGTCCCCGTTATAATTATAGTGGTGTGACATTATGATACCAATTTACCTGCCTTGAACTTAATGTTAGGAAAATTCTCTATTTTGAAAATCTGCTGATATTAAACAAACTAAAGAGGAAATACAATCTCCTTTTCGTAGGTAATTGAAAGCAGAAACTGGAAACCTTTGTATGTATGATGAGCAGTTAAAAAAGGAATTATTTTCATGTTTAAGATTAAGTTCAAAGCTGTAAAATAAGCAATAACACCTCCTCTGTAAGATATAAGAAATAGAACAGAATGTACAGGGCATTCAAAAACCGTATAAACGAATTAACTGTCTTTGAAATACGTAAGGAGATCCGATCCTCAGCTTTTGAATAGATTTTTGCCTGGAACTCTAGTCTAAAAATTCTGTGTCATATTTATGTTTTAACAATATATTTGAATTTCAATTAAACTATATCAAATTCAAAACTTTAAATTCCATAAACAAAGGATTACATGAGGAATTCTACTTTGTGGCGAAAGGTTTTTCCAAAAGAAAATGTTTGTTTGTTTTTTAACGTCTCTCTCGAGAATTTTTCAAATTTACAAATTTTGACCTATACTCTGCACTCAGGGCCATTGATCAGTGATGGATCTTTTTCGTGCCAGCACCTACTGCGACACGGACCTCGGTTTATACGGTCTCATCCGAAGGACCGGTCTCCACGACCCGCAGTGGGATTCGAACCCGCGACGTAAGGATCAACTCCTTACTCCGCGACTCTAGAGCAGACGCTCTAACTACTGCGCCACGCGGGCGACCAGAAGAAAATGATTAATTTTTATATGAAAAAATATTTACAGTACTATTAAGTTTGGTTTCCTAAAAATCGAGGCAGACTTCTTATAGAGTTATTTTGTGCGGTACTACAATTTTTGTAGACGTCAAATTAAATATAAGATTAACTTTTTTGAATTCCTCGTCAATTCTGACAGACATAGCAAATATAATTGTAAAAGTACAGGGGTAAAAATCAAATTTTAAACTAAAATTAACATATTTTGACAATATCTAAAAATAAATAACATTGACATCTGCTTGAAATATATGGAGATAACGAACGAGATATTCAACAGTATTCAAACTCAAAAGTCCATTTAAACAATACAAATTAAGAGCAAAGCAAACAGGGAACTTTAACACATCAGAGGAGGGTTCAAGTGCCATGGAGGATTGAGCATCCCCTGCTGACCGGTTACTCCCGTCGTGTGCTCCTTGTCATGATCGGGAAATAACAGAAAAATCCGTAGACAATTCAGTGTGTAAATAATGGCCTAACAACTAGTATGAAAAACGTCAGTCAGCATTTGACTTTATGATGGATTGTATTTGCTATAGAACCATAGAACTTCAAAATGATGACTTTAAACGAGAGTGTTGATATTCTTGTTTCATCAACTTGTTTGTCAATAACTTACCTCGTTTTAGAAATTGTTCAGACGTAAAGCATGCTCTCACGTATCGAATCAAATACTTTTACTCTTCTTTACTCTACTGAAAATATATGATACTATATACTAGTCTGATGTAAATTCACTAAAAAATTTTAAAATAATTTTATTGCTTGTTAAATTTTCAGTGCCAGAAAATTCACAGTTTTTGAATGCAAAAACGTCACATATTTGTTTATACACAATAATTTGGATTTTTTTTTGTCAAAAACTTTAATTGCATTTGTTCTTCACAGTATAAGACTGTCTTTGGTGCCTTTTATCATTTAGATGAAAAAATTAGAGAGAAAAAATACTGAAAATGTGATGTTTGGTGCAAATTGCAATTGTAGTGAAAAAAAAGTCATATTAAATATTACGCAGTGCCGATAAACACATATCAATCCCTATTTTTTGTTTTGATTTTTTATTAAGCTATGTGCGTAGATATTTAAAATATAGATTACCAATTTCCCGAAGAATTTTGACTGCAAGATCCATCCTCCTTAGGTAGGGGCTAGTTTATTCGAAATACTAAAAACTATCCAAAAAAAAAGAAGAAAAAATGTTTCTGTTTCAGAAGTAAACTAAATATTTCTGCACATAGGCAAAACATAAATTTAGTCACTGTATAGCTGCATGATGTTTTTTAATCTGGCTGGACATTCATGTCTATGATAAAATGAAGCTGAAAAAAGTAGTCCGTCGCGTTATGTGCGCTCAAATGTTTACATACACGGGATGTCTTGGTGAGAATCAAAGATAAATGGCCATAACATATTGAAAAAACACCTTACGCAAAAAAAAAATCCATGTCATAGGCAAATATCAGATTCACTAAAAAATAAAATCTTTCTATGATTTTGATGGATTAATGCTTTTAAATGCACTTTTAGAGTAGGAAATACCAGCTCTTGATTCTGAAAGCATTACGTGAACAAAAAATGTATATTCATTATTCAAAAACTAGTAGTTATCATTAGATACGCTTCCATTTTTAAGAAAGTATTTGGAGGATAGTCAAGTTTCATTTGAATTTGAAATATATGTTAAATTTTAATTTTTATTATTGTTTTTACATTTTTTGGTTAGTTAGCATATTGATATTATTATGTAAATGAACAGAATTTTCTCGATAAGTTGCTTTATATTGTTCATGTTCAGAGTGGATTCTTAGAACCTACCTCTATGTTTCGTGTAAAGCTAGCGTTTTCATGTATCGTAAATTTACTGCATTCGCCATCTGGGTAATTCTGGAGAGTTTTAAGAAATTATTGTTTTCATTTTTGAAGGAGATTCTATATTTCATACTGACTATTAAGCCCAATTTCCATAAGCATTCAAAAGCATAATAGGAAGGAACTGGTCGACATTTGCATCAGTGAACTAAGCAGATACTTGTAGCATGCAATCACATGTATCAGAATTCAAGGAGCAGGCATGACATTCTTTCAGTAATGGTAAAAGGCAACAACATTTAAAAAACGAATGATGGTTCAAGCAGACTGAAGTAATATAGACAGAAGAAGGCCAAAGGAAAGCACCAGCTAGCTATGACATCATAGAGATGATCTGTGTAGAAAGCCAGAGTCCATCGCGTGGTATATTGTCCACCATTACTAACCCATCAACTGTAGGATGTTATACTGTAGTCCAGGGTCGAAACATCTAAGGAAAGTTGAAGTCCATCTGATGTCGACTGAAACCAGCAGACAAGCACAATTAGGGGGCGGATACCAGTTGCAATCCTGGCATGAATTTTATTGCCGAAGCTTAGATCAGCTGAATTATCATCATACATTTTGTTTTGTTTTTATTATATTAAAAAAATCCTATAAATTCTGTATAAATACAGGTAACTTTCCCTTCTCTATCTGTCTTCTTCTGTTCTTTAATTGGAATCAAAGACATCGAGTGTGGATGTGCTAGATAATATCAGTTACGCAAAAACAATTCACACCTCGGAGTTAGGATGGATTATGGGGTATGTAAAGTATGTAAAATTAAGACTATTTTTTTGATAAATGAGCGTTAAAGAATCTTCTGTAAGTGAATAATATTTACAATTTACACCTAAAAAGGTTTTGTCTCAAACATGTCCAATCCAAAATAACCACCGGATTATGGAGTCATTTGTGAAAGAAATAAAACATATCGTAGTAATAATTGACTGTCCGGTTGCGGATTGCAAAATTCTGGATCAATGAGTCAAAATTACGGTTAATTTTTTTTTTTTTTTTTAAACATATCGTTAGGAATGTGAAAAGGCCAGATTAAAGCGGAATTACTGTATGTAAAAACATGTACGAATCTTTCTCGTAACATGAAACAAGTTTTGTCAACAGTTGATTAAATGGATGAAAAAGTAAGATTGTTTCATTAGAATTCTTGAATTTATTATTACATCAAAAGTATCATAACCTTAAATTTCTATCTTCGTTTGTATATACATGCACATAGTTTTCAATATATGTATGTCTAATTGTTTAATATCTTTTTATTCGAAAATGTACCGGAAACAAAAATATGTACATATATAATTTGCTTGTTTCAATATTTCTTTCGTTCTTTTTATTTTATTAGATTAAGTTCCTGATGCCACCATTTTAACGAGTTTTTTTAATTCCTAGATATAAATGAATATTCTTCATTTTAAGTATGGTCACTCTCTATACGACAATCACTCAAACTCATCTGCCTTGAGAGAATCTCCAAGTTTTGAACGAAAAGCAACAATTTCCTCCTCGCTGTGTGGATACTCTAGGAATGATTGACTCTCAATGAGGTCCATCAGATGAAGCGGTAACTTCTGCATTGAGCTCTTTTCCAAAGCTACCAAAATCAAGATATTCTTACCGTTACGAGAATATATCGCCTCCATTTGCGCCATTTTTAATTCAAACATGCACCAGTATGAATTTAGAAAGTGTGACGTCATTATGCAAACTGTTCGTCTGCTGGAGTGAATAGCATTTGTGATGTTATCGGCTATATCTGTTCCAGGAATGAAATCTCGGTGATGTATGCAGAGTTTTAGATCAAACCCTTCTTCAAGGCTTTGAACAAGATTAATAACCTCGGTTCTATTGTTTTCTGCATACGAGATGAAAGCATCAAATCGGTACACACTCTGTTTATTTTTTGCACCATTTCTTCCTCTAGCATGACCCCGATAAGTCTCCTTTGCAACATAGTACATGTATCGAAGCTTCCATCTGTACCTATACACAATGCGACTCACGGTTAACGTCATTGCAGCAATGATCATAGACGTCATAGTTACTATGATGAGTGTGTAAGAAGAACATCTCTTCTCTAAACTGGCCAGAATATTATCGAGAGCCTTCAATGGAAAATTTGGCGAGTTACCAAATGCACAAGTGTAGTTCTCAAACTCCAGAAACTTTAAGGTTGTTGATTTGTGAATCCATTTGAGAAATTCAAGATTTTCACAAGAACACTTCAACTGGTTGCCCATTAGATTGACCTGAATTTCCTTGGATATCGATAGCAAGTTTAAGGCTTTTCTTGTCGATGCTCCAAGGTCTGACAACTGGTTGTACGATAAGTCTAGAAGAGACATTTGTCTCATGTGTTCAATTTGTACAGTAAAACTACTCAATGAGTTATAGCTTATATTTAAATATACAATTTTATGATTGTTTTGGAATACCTTTCTTGGAAGGCGAACTATTCTATTGAAAGATAAATCTAGAAATAATAACTCGTGTTGGTGAGCGAGAATCTCGCCAATTTTATCCTTTTCAAATGAAGGTCCCAATGCATTGTTTGACAAATTCAAATACTTTAATCCAGTAAAATATTTTAAAAACTGCTTGGATATATATCCACAGAAATTACCAGAAAGATCAAAGTATTGAACGTGCATCATTCCTTTTACTGGACCGATTAGTTTATAGATGATATTTCTTTGCATTGATATTTTTGACACTTTGTTTTCTGCATGCACTGGTAGCTTTGGAATGAACATTTTGTACAAATTGTCATGCCAAAATAAGCTGTGCAGATTCGGTGGAATGTAGAGAGTAAAATTGTCGAATATACCATGAGACTCCTTAAAATTCGAGTGGAGTTTTCGAGATATCTGTGTCAGCTCTCTTGCGTGTAATTTGTTTTTGTACGATAAATAATCATTTTCGATTGCCTTTTGGCTGACTTCAAAGAATCGAGGAGGATTTCTTGTGTCGTTACAGTTCTCGAAAAAGTCAACGCTCATTCCAACTTGATGGAAAAAAGCTTGAAAACTGATATTTAGCACCTCCAAATTGCGCAAAACTGCAAACTCCATGAGGTAGAACCCAAAACTTAACTGATTACCTGCCAAATTTAGGACACGGAGTGATTTTGGCAAAGATGATAGAACTCCTGTTTCCAAATGGTGAATTCTATTCGAAGCTAAATTTAGTTCCTCTAGCGATGTGTATTTTAAATTCATAACATGATAAACTTTTATGACATGACTTACCCCATATGTGCAATGCAGTTTTTCAGCATTTATATACCTTATTTTTGAATTCCGCAGATCACTTGTAATGTTGTAGATGACCTCATCAGTAAGAATTATATTATTTGAGATGTCAAGGTGTTCAAGTTTCAAGTTTTTCAGAAAGGTTCCAATCTGAACTTCTATGAGATTGTTGTATGAAATACTAAAATTCCTGAGAGACTCATATCTTCTAAGGGATGTGCTGTCAAGCTTTTGCAGGTTATTGTGGGATAAATCCAAATATAAAAGAGTTTTTGGAAGATTTTGAGGAACATCAGTAAATCTATTTTTAGCCAAATTTATACCAATAATTTTAAGATTGAAAGTTGGAGCTTTTGTTAAATCAACATCTTCGCAATCAGCAAACCACTTTCCTTCATATGCAATGCAAGTGCATTTCTTGATCGATGAGCAATTTTGTCCAACAGCTGTTGGCGAAAAAATAAACACCAGAATCGTGATCCAAATGATATCCATAGCTAGAAATGAATAAAACAGTGTAAGTGATAAGAATTTTCCGCATAGAAGTCTATTAACCATCTGTACATGTATATTGTACTTATATTTTAAGAAAAAGTTGAGGTTAACATAGTCCAAAGTCTGATAAGTTTCTCTGTTGGAAACATTAATCTATATACCGGTGACGATCCAATAAAATGTATAATTATATGAATATAAAGTCACATTGTATAATAAAGTTGTTCAGCAAATACATCTTTCAAAATAACACTAGATCAGCAACATTACTATATATAGCTCTGATAAAGCGAATTCAAATGAATTAAAATGACAAACTTGAAAATTAGCTCATGTAAAAAGTCATTTTTAGGAAAAAATAAATATCATTTATGTCACATTTAGCGGATGCAAATTAATTTCAATGTGGAAAACATAATTACTCTAAAAATTAAGTGGTTTATATGTTAATATGGGAAACAATTTGAATGCATATTTCCCAGTTGTTGGTCATGGTACTGGGGAAAGACCTTTCTTTGCGTATCTTGCTAGCATTCAACTTGTAATTTCATGCAGATTTATCTCAATATTACATTGATATACTACATCTTTTTGTATAAATTCATTTTACTATTCGCCATTCGCTTTCTTCATAATAAACTATGACACCTAAAAAATAACTGAATATGAAGTTTTGAAATAATTATGTAAGATCTGAAACTGGCCTGTTTGGGCATTCTAGTCTACACCTTTGGATATAGTACGGACCAAATACATCTGAACGTAACCTTTCATTTACCATGCATTGCTAAATTAAGTTTATATTACTGTAAAAAAGTGTTAATGATAGTTTTTGTTGATAAATATAAAATAATCTCTTATCTACAAAATACGATTAATGGTCGTTAACTATAATTTAGAGTCGTTAATCAGTTTGACTATTCTGGACCTGGCAGATAAACTATATTTTACATTTTTGATCTGAAATTATAAAGTATAAAAATGTGCTCCATCGCCATATGTTCTAGAAATTGGCTCCTCGGAGATTAGTAAAGGTAAATTTGCCTTACACTTAAAATTGCATAGACAGAATTTATTTTGCCCCTGAAAACTTGAAGGTCAAGCTGACAGCTAACACTGCAGGGTCATCAGTGTGTGATATATGACGTAATAATCAATAGCCAAAGATGTCGATGACTTAGCTGATTCCCTACAATGTAACAATTTTTGCAGATCCTGCTAAAAAACCTACATTGTACTTGTGCGAGATATTCAAAAAGTAGTATGTTCTCAACATTCAACTAAAATGATCCGTGAAACATTTATGATTTACGCACGGAACGCTTAAATAATTGTTCATTAGATACACAACATTTTCCATCTACAGATAATACCTTTCACATTAAGATTACTTTATTGCTTATGAACAAGATCTGTCTGTGAAACACTTATGCCCCCGTATGGCAGCTCATGGCCATGTTTAAGTTTTTCAGAAGTAGGTGAACCTCAAAGGCCAAGGTCATGAAATCAAAAATGTTGGTACGAAAGAAAGATCTTATAGGAAGGCATAGATATATGAAATATAAAAATCCTAGTACCAACCATTCACCAAGGTTAAAGTTGGTTATTATTATTTTTTTCCGAAAATTAGGTCAAAATAGCACTAACGTTCAAAAGTTATAGGCAAGATAAATGTCTCTGTTGAAAAACAGATATACAGACAGACAGACGGACAGACCAAAAATTATATACCCCCGAATCTTTGGGAGCATAAAAATAGAGACAAAAATTGTTGTATAGAGATGTTAACTAGACATTAGTTAAATTGACACTCTTGTGGTGGAATTGTTACAACAGTTTTAGATCAAATGTAAAATTTTTATACACTTAACAAAAATATATCTTCCATTCACTTAATGAACTTGGCTTTAGTTAGCAATCCAAATTATAGTTCAAACAGGGTAAATATAAAATTCATTTACGCGTACACTTTGACAAATGCAAATAAAAATACTCAAATTGTATGTCAAAACCTAACATAAATTACTTACCTAGGCAATGTGTTTTCACCCTAAACAAATAAAATTTTTGATGGTGAACTTTATTAACAGGGTTATAAAATATGCAGGAAAAAAATGCAAACAGGTATACACAGATTTTGGTTTGAATAAGATTGTGATTTTTAAACGGTTTTAAGTTACAGTGTACTATTTTTTTTTTTTTTTTTTTTTTTTTTTTTTTTTTGGCATCGTTGTACTTTGCTTTTTGTATCAGACATACCTGATCTGTTTACAATTATGTTATGTTTTTCATAGACAACCTACTTTTGTAAAGAGTGTACTTCCTGATTTGACATTAAAAACCTTAATCGTATGTAAGGATGTTACCAATCACCTTTATATAACACTGCATTATATTAACTCTTATTTCTAAAATTGAATTAAAAACATCGCCTGAGACAGTCTGACAAAATGTAGAATGACTGGAACGACAGTAGCTCATTCGATACAACTTTGCGTTTGAGTTTGCTTTATAATAGGCTAACATAATTCATCTTTCGCATGGCATTTACCAAAGAAAGAAATAAGGTTTGAATGAATATAATAATATAAAAAAGGAATTTGTCGGAGGTCTTTGTGGAGGATAAAATCACAGGTGAGCTTGATTGTTTCTGGTTGAAAAAGGAAAACAAATGCAGAGAGAGCCAAACATGCCCATGAAGTTTATATATAGTTTATCAAAGAATTACAGTAGATTCATTAATCAAATAAAATTATTATCTGATAACTGCTCACTCATTAATGTTTAAGGCAATAAACTAAGGTAAAATGATAGACAAAAATGATAGCTCCAGCGTTTTAACCGGAACACCACCCCCGAAGATCTTTTACCTATTTCTCCTAAATACATACATATTCTCTTTTAAAATGTTTTCGAGTTTAGAGATATGTTGGATAAAAATATACAGACAGATAGAGGTACAAAATTTTAATAAAATTCACTTAAATCACTGGAATTGATAAAGAGTCAAGTTAGCACTTTCAATTGATATTTTTGTCAACTGAACGCTTTTTATAAAAGAGACTGAGTAATAAACATTTACATTTGATTTTGTTATATATAGTATTTATCAAAGGATAATGGCATGACATTGTTATCAAAAACTTGTTTTAAATTGTTTTAATGTGTTCCGTTTTGTTCTTAAATAATCGCAACCAGATTTATCAAAAAAGAAAACCCACCCCAAACTCAGAATAAAGTTGAAAATGAAGACCTAAAATCAATCATCGTGAAAGGTCCTAAATACACGGAGCCCCGATCTTTCAATTGGCGACAGAACTTCATTTCTATCATGAATTCTGTCGAAGATTATGCCAGAATAAACTAAATATGAAAAAGAAGAACCTGAACACTCTGTCATAATGGATTAAATATTTTAGAAATATATTAAAGAATCGTATACGAAAATTAAATGGCAAAATGCGAACCATCTATCCTTCCGTTTTCGCTTAATCGGAGTTGATAAAAGAATTA